AAAAAAAAAAGGGTAGGACTTCAGACTATGTTATTCCTCTCCCTTATCCCCCATCCCAGGGGAGCCAGTCACCTCGATGTAATCAAGTATTGAGCTGAGTTGGGGCAGAGCTATAGTTCTAGTAAAACTCAATCCTTTTCTGGATTGTCCCTGTCCCTTAGGAGTGGCCCTCTTGGATTTGGCTTTGAAAGCCTGGCCAGCCTATATCTCTCTAGTCCTTCAAGTTCTCTTTTGAGACATTTTTTTTTTTTTAAGATTTTATTTATTTGTCAGAGAGAGAGCACAAGCAGGGGGACCGGCAGGCAGAGCAGGCAGAGGGAGAAGCAGGCTTCCCACTGAGCAGGGAGCCTGATGTGGGACTCGATCCCAGGACTCTGGGATCATGACCTGAGCCGAAGGCAGACGTTTAACCGACTGAGCTACCCAGGCGTCCCTCTCTTTTGAGATTTTGAGGTTAGCTCTTCAGCCTCCAAGACCACCCAGGTTCAAAATCTGGCCAATATCTTGAGGGGGGAGACCAGTTTTTGTTTCAGCCCCTCTCCCTCTAAACACTGCAAGACTGTGGGACTTGCCTTTCCAGCCCACCCAGTACTCAGCTGCCCACGGTGCTCCAGAACTCAGCAAATCTTCTGTGGGGAAAACTGGCTTGGCATTCCAGCCTCCTCTAGTGCCCAACCCACGACAGTCCCTGCAAGAACCACAGACTGTTCATTTCTCTTTTCCTCAGTAGAGTCTCCCTGCTCGGGGCAATGCTGGTCATTGGAGATGCCCCAGATCAATGAATGTCTGAGAAGAAAGTAACCAACCCATCATCAGCTCACCTTGGAAGGTCTCTTTCCCCCTGGACATTTTGTTCATCTGGTCCTTATTCCTTCCACCACTCCTCATTCTCTTTAAAAATGATGACTTTCAGGGCACCTGGGTGGCTTAGTCGTTAAGCATCCGCCTTTGGCTCGGGTCATGATCCCACGGTCCCTGGGATTGAGCCCTGCATCGGGCTCCCTGCTCAGCGGGGAGTCTACTTCTCCCTCTCCTTTTGCCTGTCTCTTCCCCTGCCTGTGCTCACTTGCCCTCTCTCTCAAAAATAAATAAGATCTTTAAAATTTTTTTAAAAAAATTAAAAAGATGATTTCCGTCTCGTTTCCTCCTAGCTGTTGCAACGGGAGCAGTGGCCTGTGGAGACCTACCACATCCTACCCAGAAGCAAAAGTTCCTTGGTTCTGCTTTTTATCACTTCCAATGATAAAGACTTTTTAGTATTTTTTCTTAATCACACTCTAACTTGATTTCCTCTTGTTCACACAAGTTATAGTGTTTTTATCTCCTTCCTACTAAGGAAGTAGATGTGATCTACTTCCTTAGCTTTCTTGAGGGATGGCCATTTTACCTCAAAGTTCTTGTTGCTTTGTTCTTTGGTGCGAGAGATCTTTCCTGGTTTCGGTTTTTCAGTTTGTTCATACCTCTTTGTCTTCTTGCCCTTCTCTGGAGCTGCTGGGAAGGTTTCTGATGATTTTATAGATTTCGGGGGGCCTTTATAGACTTAGAGGAGGAGGTGAGCGCTCCGCGCTCTGCTGCCCTGTTGCTCAGTAGACTTGTCTTGATGGATGAACTCCCTGGGGAGCATGTTCTTTCTCTTCAGTCACCCCAGTCCCCTTTTAGGGAAACTCACTTTCCCTGACTCCCTGCCCCCCTCTCCTGAATCTCCTAATGACTGCCGCACACACCTGACGTTTGTCCGCTAAGGACTTCCCAACGCCGGTGGCCGGCCTTTGCCTCCATCTGGGCTTCTGGACTTCTGTGTCACACCTACATCCCCACAGGCCCCTCAAACGCAACGTCTCCCACCTCCCCACTCCTCCCGCAGCTCTGCTCCTCTGCCTGTGACCCTCTCCGGGTGCCAGAAGCCCGCACACCGTCTCCCTCTTCCCCGCGTCTCGCACCCAGGGGCTGCCGGCTCAGGTCCGTTCCGCCCCGCGAACACTGCCCGTCCTCCCCCTTCCCACGGCCACAGCACGGGCCCCCGACTCCTCCTCAGACCTGCCGTCCGGAGGAGCGCACATGCCAAGAGCACTCAATGGGCACAAGTGGTTTTTATTACTTCCGCCCGGAAGAGGAAGGGCCGGCCAAGCAGAGCCGCATGGCCACCGGCCGCATGGACGCCAGTGGCCGGGGTCCAGGACGGGCAGGAGCCGTCCGGCCATGTGAGCCACACTGCGTGGACGTACAATCTTGCCTGCAGAGGCCACTGGCTTGAGAAGGAGGCCCGGCCTCACCGATGCCGCTTCCGGATGCTCTGCAGCTCCTGGGAGATGGCGCTGAAGCTGGGCCGCTGCCCGGGCTCGTAGGCCCAGCACTGCTCCATGAGCCTGAACACGGCGTCGGGGCACAGCTCGGGGCAGGGCAGGCGGCCCCCTGTGGGCACAGGCACCGCACACACGGGCTGTGAGGGCGGGCGGGGGGACCCGGCAGCCCCCGGGGCCATTCCTGGAGCACTGGGAGCTGCTTATTAAGAGGCACTGTTCTCGGGGCGCCACTCTTCGAGGGCCCCAGGGACACAGAGGCTCGAATCTCGGTCCCACCGTGTGCCAGCTGGGTGACCTCTGCAAGGCTGCTTGTTCCGGCTCTAAAAGGGACGTATTAAGCCCTCCCTCCCTTGTTGTGAAGAGTGGATGAGATATGCTGGCCTGGGGGCTCGCTCAGCGGCAGCTACGCTCGGAGGACTCTCGCTCTGCGCCCGTGGGCGGTCAGGGGCCTGGGGGAGCCCGGCCGGAGCCCTGGGAAGGCGGCGTGGCTCGGCCTTACCCTTTTCCACAAACTCCCGGGTCTGCTGATTGCTGAGGTTGGGGTAGGGGGAGGCCCCCAGGCTGAAGGTCTCCCAGAGCAAGATCCCGAAGCTCCACACGTCGCTCTCAGAAGAGTAGCGTCCTGCAGGGAGAAGAGGCGTGAGTGGGCTGGCCACGTCCGCTGGCCAGAGCGAGGGCCCTGGCCTGGGGACAGCCGGAGCGGGTAAGGCCCAGGTACCGTAGTTAAGAGCCTCCGGGGCCGTCCACTTCACGGGGACTTGTCTGAGGCCCCCTGAGGCTGCATAGATCCCATCGGCTTCCTCCCGGGACATCCCGAAGTCACTGATCTTCAGGACGTTCTTTTCCGTCACCAGGCAGTTCCGAGCAGCCAGGTCCCTGGGTAGGGCACGAGAGCGTCCACGCGGTAGCCGCACCTGCCCAGGCCGGCGCTCCAGGCACAGCCACGGACAAAGCTGCTCCCCACACCCCTGGGACTACTGGTCCACGGGGACAGGCAACCACGAGGTCTGCAGCATGTGCCTGCCCTGAGGGGAGCGGCGGGGTGCGCCAGGTGGTGGTGGTGGGGCTACAGTGGGCGCCCCTCACTCACCGGTGGATACAGCACTTGCTCTCCAGGTACTCCATGCCCGCAGCCGCGTCCCCCACCATCTGCAGCAGGGTCTTCATCCTCAGGCGGGCGCCCTCAGTCCGCAGGAAGGTCAGGAAGTCGCCGCCTGGGGGTGGGCAGGGGAAGCTGGGGTGAACCTTAGGCAGCAGCCTCCTCCCCACCCCCGCAGACCAGCTTCCTTGCTCACCTTGCACAAGCTCCATGACAATGTAGATGGGCTGCTTCTGGGTGCAGACGCCAATGAGACGCACGATGTTGGGGTGGTTGTACTGCTTCAGGATCCTGGAGAGCCCCGGGAACCCCAGGGAGACCGAGGGAGGATGGGAGAAGGCAGCAGAAGAGGAGAGCATGGCCTCTGAGACCAGCAGACCTGGACATGTGACCTCGGGTGGGTCACTGAGCCTCTACCCCTCGGCACTAAGTGGGGGGGGGGGTACCACCTGCACGGTGCAGGGGGCGGGGGCATGAGAATTAAGCCAAGCACTTTACCTCATGCCATGCACAGAGGGACCCTTTGTATGTGGAACTGTGGGATTGTTACTTTATCACCCACCTCGCTTCCTGTAGAAACTTGGCCTTGAGGTCAGGTGGGAGTGTCTCTCGACAAGACTTCACCGCCACCAGAGTGTTGTCGGCCCTCAGGCGTCCACTGAACACTTCGCCAAAGTTCCCCTGAAAGGGTCTCGGGCTCCTACCAGTCGTCCCTGGACCATGGTCCTCTTCCTCACTCCCGGGGACTTGTCCTCATCTTGTCGCCACCCACCCTTCACTGCCCCCGCGCTCGGACTGCTCAGCCATGCTCCACAGGAGTTTACCCCCTGGGTGGGGAGCCAAGGGGGTGCACATGGGATAGGCAGAGAAGGTTACCTCGGACTTGCCACATTCACCGGGAGAAGTGACACAGAAAACCCCAAAATCTCTTTCACTTGGGTTGAAAAACCATTCTGATTCTTAAGAAAGTGACTTTTTTCCTTAGCAGGTATTTTATAGCTCATGTGAACAAAGCGTACTACCCCACGCACATGAGAGCAACCTGAGGAGAAAGGGCCTGGGTCGCGTGAGGGGGCATCGGGGACGCCGGCGGAAGTGGGGGAGGGAAAATCAGGCAGCCAGGGGGCCGGCAGGGCACTCGACTCACCCGCCCAATCTGCTCACCCAACACCAGGTCCTCGTGGTTTAGCACCCACTTGTCCTGGCAGAGGGAGAGGGTGGGGGGGTCGGAAGTCAGTGAGGGGAATGGGTGCTGGGCCCTGCAGGGGACCAGACATCCCCCACCAATGCTCTTGTTTTTCGTTTCTTAGCACCTCGGTTTGCTGGTCTGAAAAATGAGGGTTGGACAGTATCAGGATCACACTTAGATGACTTTGGGGACCAGGCGGGGGCCCCTAACTGAGGGAGTATCAGCTCTGCGTGTATGTGCATATGTGTGTGTGTCCCACAGAACGGGCGTGGCCTTGAGAGTCCAAACCTAGAGGGAAGCTGGCCCCCTGAGGAGTGAGGAATCACGCTGCAGGTCGTACGGAGGCAGGAGGCAGGAACCGGGGGATCCCCTCCTGCTCTGACGCTGCGTGGCTTAGCGCGTGGGTGGGGCTGGGCGCAGGCTCACCTTGGGCACAGCCCTGTTCAGGACAATACCGCTCTTCTTGGTGAGGGGCTGCTGGGAGCGCAGCAGGTGGTCGATGAGCAAGGGGATGCTGGGAAAGCCGTCCCCTTCCAGTCGGTACAGGTTCTGCGGGGCAGGGGAACCCAGGGTCAACGGCCTCCTCTGCTGGGGGGGCCTGAGCCCTGGGAGAGGAGAGACGGGAGGCAGAGCCGGCAGGGCAGGCGCTCTCTGAGGCCGCGCCACGGCCTGGAGCCCTCCTCGGGGCAGGACCCACGCTGGAGACTGTGCCTCTGGCTCGTTGCACGGACTGGGTGCTCTCCGGGGCCCCTTGCAGCTCCGCCAAGCAAGCGTCGGATGTAGCAGCAACTTCCTCCCCTCCCGAGGCCGTTCCCCTGCTGGGGGGGGGGGCGGGGGGGCGAGGCAGGGAAGGCCCGAGGGCAGGCCCCACTCACGTCAGCCGACTGGATGATGAAGTGCCGGGGCTGGCCATCCCACAGCACAGACAGCACGTACTCCTGCTTGCCCTGGCTCTCCCGCACCAGGAAGTCCCCGGAATGTGTCAGCAGCTCAGCCACCTCTGCCCGTGGAATGGCCCCGTGGTACCACAGCTGCTCGTGCAGCGGCTTCTGCACCTCTGGCACGAGCTGCAGGGGTGGAGGGAGCTGGCGGGGGCAGGGGCGGGGGAAGCGAGGAAGGGTCATTCAGCCAGTTTGCCAGGGGAGGCCACCGGGACAGACGGGGTCAGCTGGGTGGGGTCTGTCTCACATAAGCCCCTCGTGCTCACGGACCACCTGCGTGGCGTTAGCGCCTCCGAGCAGGCACCAGACTGAGCCGGGCTCGCTCCAGGCAGAGCTGGGAGGGGGAGCCCAGGCTGGCTGATCTCAAACCGGGCTTCTGCCTTCTCCTCCAGGCCCCCGCCGCCCAACTCCTCCCTCCGTAGCCGGGGGTGGGGGGT